TTCTCCTGGTTTATTTATACACAAATGTGAGATCGACTGGTCCTCCAGCTACCACCTCGCCCCATCCAGGTCCTTTAGCCTCTGCCTTGCCGTGAGTACTCTCTGCCCAGATGCCCGACTCTGCTCCTTCTCCCAGCCTGGATGAATGTTTCTACTTTAACTTCTTGGTTGTCAGACTTTCATACAGTTTGACTTCCTGTCTGTTCTGGTTGTTTATTTTGTTTTTAAATTTGTTGTTGCCCTTCTTTTGGTTGTGTGAGGAAGCACAATGTATCCACCTACACCTCCATCTTGGCTGGTAGTGTCCAGGATGAAACACATCTGTAGGAACATTGTTTTTCCTCCAAAGTATCTAAGTAAAGCCATATAATTGTCTGTAAATGAAGGAAGACTCAAAACTGGCCATGGTTAAAGATTTGGTGAGAGTTTACATGCACATACATAAAAATAATGTAATTGCCTTAATTATATCTTCCAAAATTAGTTTTCTTGGCCATATATAAAATTCTTAAAACCCCTTTTCCATAATCCTTTTGCAATTGCCACAAACCTTCTGCAACTTTTATGTACCTTTCAGTGCCCCCCACCCTGTTTCCTTTCTTATTTTAAAAGTCATTTTATTTTAGGACAAAATTAATTTTTTTCTTTATTATTCCCCCCAATTCATGTTTTTTTATGTCCTTCCTTATCCAAAAATCACATTGTATTTTCATTTCCCTCAACCAAAGTGCAACTCCATGCTTCATACCTTCTTCTGTTGAAAATAGAATATCCTATTTTTCATATACAGTCATTAGTTCTTTTATAAATCAATTTTGGCAAGGGAACTAACTTATATAGCAGTTTGCATTTTAAAAAGTCCTCCTTTTCCTCCTTCACTCTCTGTGGGCATTGTCTTGGTGTGTTTACGTTTCTAAGACATAAGATTTACAGCTTTTAAGAGACAGAGAAATACTGCAAGTTTTTCAGCATTATATCAGGGTATGTCAGAATTTTAGGAATTTTATGTAATAAAAGGTTTAGCATCATTTACTTGGTGATGCTTCCCATGTAATCTAACATACCACTAAGTCTAATTATGTCAACATTTAGTCAAATGGAATCATAAGTCATTGTGGAACAATACTTACTAAGTTATTCACTCAACCATGGTGAGAATTAAAAACTTTTCAGGAAAACACAGAAAGCCAAATGGTTGTAAGCAAAATTTAGCTCTTTTAATAATAAGAAGACTCAGTTTACTGAGTCAATTATAAACCCGAGGAGAAAGGACACAGGGAATTTTCTTAAGAATGCATAAAATTCTTGCTTTCCCTTTATCATTTCTTATTAAGAGTATAGCCAGTAGGAACCCGTACCTGGTTCCAGGGGACTCTAGTCCATGGAAATGAGGCCACTTTAGATCCTGCTCAAGGTGCCAGATATGTTAACCTAAAAATAAAAGGCCTTTCAAAGTCAGAGGCAACAGGTATTTACATGAGCTTTTTTACAAATACAGAAGAAAAAAATAGTTCCTCAGGAGGCAGTGATTCAGGCAGAACCCCAAACAGTGTTCCAATCAGGACACAAAGGCAACGGGTAATTAAGAGAAATCAAAGGGAAACAATTACATCAAAATAAGAAAAGCATTGTTTTTCTATTGGTGCAGGTAAGCTAACATGAGTGGTGCTGATTCTGAACAATTTAAAAAATTTTTCAGTCCAGCAGCCATCCGTCCAGTAGTCCCTATCAGCCTTGTTGTTATCATTGCAAACAGCTCTTTGGGGCAGACTGTTGCTTTAGGCCCAGTCCAACGTTATTTGGACCTATTTTAACATTTCAAAGGTTTGAAACATAAGATATGCAAGGCAGTTCCTCTGGGAGGGTGGCTCCAGCTCCTCTTTAAAGTGGCTCTGTTTATATTACTTTTTACACTACGAAGCTCATGCGAGGCCTGTATACATTAAATTTAAATCTAAATTCATGGAGGGGGTGATGAGTTATAGATATACTCCCTGTCACTTACCTGAAGACTGCCTTCCTCCATTCCCCTCTTCACAATGAGTATGCTGTCTACCCTGGTGATCTGGAGGCAGGGGCTGCAGCCATCTCCCGCTGAGATAGCCCTGGGTGTGTAGCTGGGGTGAACCTTCTATAAGACCTGGTTGAGGTTGCCAGAGACACCAGGTATCTGGGATGTTGCTGGTGGGCCAGTTTCATGGGGCTGCAGGGAATATGGGGCATGGTGACCCAAAGGCGCCGGGCTCCAGGGTCTCCTTAGAGGGCCAGCTGCTGGGGTCACAGGGGTCACATGTCAAGTTTGTCAGATTATGCTGCTCCAGGGTGCTTACTGAGGGCTGGGTGAGAGGGGCTGCAGCAGGCGCTCCCTGAGTTCACCTGGGGTGTAAGGCTCTGGGCGGCTATGGGGGCCTGGTAGGCTGGGGCTGCAGCTAATGCTGACTGCAGCTGCAGTGGGTGCTGACTGAGTTGGCTGGGTTGCAGGGAGCCTGGGCTGCAGCACTCATGGGGCAAGGTGGCCTAAGATGAGGGACTATAGGGGTGCCCTGAGAGACCATCTCCCTGGGGCTGCCACTAATACATGGCAAGGTGGCCCCAGGGTCCACTGTGGAGGCCTTGCAGGGTGGCTAGAGCACCATTTAGCTGGAGGAGAAATGTCAACAATGGCATTTGCCAGCTCCTCAGATCCAAGGGAGTTCCTACATGTTCCCCACATATTTATTTGGCAGATAGGTGTCTCAGGGTCAGTAAATGGATTTCTTTTGTGTGTAGTCTAGTTGCCCTTTAAATTGCCATGTTATTGCTATGCCTATAGCAGGCGACTCTGCTCTTGCCAGCTACTCAAGTGATATCCTCTTTACCGCAAGTGTCCCCTTTGGGGTGAGGTTCCCGTGGTCACCCCATCTCAGTTTCTCCTACAATGTCTCTCTGTGGCCCCTTTCTCATTTGCTGCTCAGGAGGAATTGCTCCACATGTAGGTGTATAGTTCCTGCATCCTACCCTACCATCTAGGAGCTGACTCCAAGATAAAAAATTTAATTCAGGTATCCAAGCAGTGACTCTTTTAACCTGGAGCTAAGGCCGCCATCACCTGGGTCACCTGTGTTTCCTCTCTCAGCAGAGCACTCCCTCCAGCATGTAGTCATTGCCAGTTTTGTGTCACTCTCCACCAGACGTTGGGCTCCTTGAGAGCAGGGACCATCTTCACCATGATGCAACTCCTATGCCTGGCAGAGTATCTGTCACAAGTTGGCATTCAAGTATGTGCTGAATGAGTAATTTTGCTGCTTCTACTCAAATTGATTGAGGATATTTGGCCATACCAAATGACGGAATATGCACTCTCCTAATCTCTTATGCTAGTCTATAATGTGCTGTAAAATGCATCAACTTGAACACAAGAAAAGTAGTTTGATTTTACTATTGATAGTCTAATTTTTTAATTTGTAAAGTGAAGTTTTAAAGACTCCTGTTGGCTTCAAATTCATTAACTACCCATTCCCCTCAAATCTAACCCCTGACTCCCTCCCACCAACCCCACTATATATTCAAAGGAAAACCAGGATAGGGAAGTCAGAGCTTCTCTGTCTGATGGGAAAGGGCCAGAGCTGGGCTAAAACCTCACTTGTGCAGCCTTCGGGGAATCCCCCACAGGCCCCCTGGATGGATGCAATCAGGAAGCCCAGATGGAAACTATGGACAAGATGTTTTTCTCTTCAGCTCCAGAGGCAAGCCCAGCAATAATTGTAGCTGTTTCCATGCCCATTATTTTCTTCAGCTTTTTCCCTAGCTTTATTGAGATATAATTGACATATAACATTGCATAAATTTAAGATGCATGATATGGTGATTTGATGCATGCATTTATCATGTCATGTTTACTAAGATAATTAACACATCCTACCCTTGACAGAATTACCATTTTGTTGCTGTTGTGTTGAGAGCACTGAAGCTGTGCTTTTTTTTTTTTTTGCTCTTAAAATCTTTTATTTTATTGGGGTTCAGTTACAGTTGTCTTGCCTTTTTCCCCATTGCTCTTCTCCACCACATTCCCCCCACTCCTACTGTCAATTCCCCCAGTGTCTGTGCCCATGAGTCCTCTATTTGTGCTCTTATAGTAACTTTCAAGTATACCAAAGAGTATCTATACCCAAGTCAGCATGCTGTAGATTAGGTTCCCAGAATTTATTCATCTCCTAATTGAAAGTTTGTATCTTTGGACCAAGATCTACCCATTTCCCCCAACCTCTACCCCTCATGTCCACTTTCTTCTAGATACCTAAATGGTATTAGCTCAAAACCACGGAAAGAAACTATTTCCAGAGGAGGCCAATTCTGTGGGGGTGGGGGCAGGGGGGAGGATGAAAAAGAAAGTGATGGGGACACTTCTTCCCTCTCCATGTATTCTCATCCTTTAGAATACTCTGAGAAGTTCAATTCCTAAGCCCAGAATTAGTCTTCAGTATATTTGCTGGAACAGGTTCTGATAAAAGGACTGAAAGGACTGTCTCAGCACAATTTTGTACCGGCAGGCTTTAAAAAAATCAGACAACAGTGATAACAGATAAAAGCAAGATGAAATGATTTATTGAGGAAATGACAACTCAGGTGAAGAATACCACACAATATTAGATAATCTTCAATATCAGATCATCTTTTTTTTTTTTTGTATTAGGCACAATATCTTTAAACTGCTGCACCTCATTCACCTGGGAATGTGGAATCACAGCTGTGATCCTGGTCAGATAATTTTAAAAAACTGGAATCAGAGGCATGTGTGCCTGTAGAAACCACTAAGGCGGATAGATGGTAAGAGAGAAGAGCTTAGAAATATACAGATCTTGTCTTTATCCTCAAACCTTGGGGGAGGGGCATGTATTTTTCTCAGGGCAGAAATCTAACAATATGGATATTTGAACAACATGACATCAAAGGGCACCATTTTCTTGAGGTTACATCACCTGCAACCCAGACCAGGGAGTCCCTGGGAGTCAGCGGGGCAGTTACTGGGCCCGAGCAGCAGAGGAGGCTTTTGCAACTGCGGCTTCCTCCTCAGAGGTGCTGGTCTTTTCGGCAACGCAAGCGGGTTTCCCAGCAGGGCCCTTCCCTAGCTCGCCCTCTCCTCCGGGTTTCTGGCCTTGTTTGCCAGGCAGCTGCTGCGGGCAATGGCAATCACAAAGCTTGTTGGGGCAGCGGCATGTGTAGCATGGACGGAACCCCTGTTGCAGGCCAACGGCATCGATCCTGCTCTCCTTTCCTGCCTCCGGCTCCTGGGCAAGGTTGGGTGAGGTCTTCGGATCAGGGGCAGTGCCTCGGGCCCTAGGGCGGCTCAGCCGGTAGCTGGGCCCATGCCCCCGGCGCGGTGGAGTGCCCACAGGCCCTGCAGCTGGAGCGGGCGCAGTGAAGGTGGCAGGGTGGCAGGTGGCAGCCGGGACCCTGCAGAAGGATGGGACGCTCTGACATTGCTGGGCATGGGGGCTGCTGGGCTGGTGGTGCTTCTGGCCCTGGGCTGCGGGGTAGCCTTTTCCGCCGTCGTCAAAGTCGATGTCCTCTTTGGCATCCGCCACATCACGGGGCGGCTGCAGCTTCTTACGGCGGTTGCAGAGGCCAGGGCTGAAGCGGCTGCCCTTCACCGGGGCGCCAGCCGGCCCAGTCACGTTGGCAGCCTCGGTGCCCCGCTTGCCCTGCACCACATCGAACTCGACAGCCTCCCCAGCGTCCACGCCCCGATGGTACCTGAGAGGGCTGGTCTGGGCAATGGCTGAGTGGTGAACAAACACTTCTTCCTTCGTATCATGCCTGTTGATGAAACCATACCCATGCTTCACATTGTACCACTTGACGGATCCACTCACCTTCTGGGCGATGACTTTCTTGGCACCGCCACTGGCTTCTGGAGTTAGGGTCTGGAGGCAGTCTCCCCTTCCCAAGCACAACAGGTCTTCCCACTTGGCTAGGCAGGAGACTGAGGCGGCCACCTTCCGGAGGCCAGCCTCTCTGGCATCACTTATGAGGCTGTCCACTCTCTCCATTCTCAAATGCCTGTAGGGGTAGGGGTTAGTTCTAGAGGCAGGAGACTCACTCTAAGACAGCCTCTGCTCAGAGCCAAGGACTTTGGGACTGGGCCCTGAGATCGACTGGAGCCTTCTGGAGCGTCTCCTGAGAAACAGGGCGTGGCCGAACCTGACGTCACAACGGGGCGTCCTAGATTCGGCCTTAGTGAGGGGGCGGAGCCTAAGAGCTCTGCCACAAGCTCTTGGAGCAATGTCCCACACCCTCTTGGTCCTCGGGGGACAAGGGGTACACAGGAAGCTCTAGGGAGCAGTCTTCTTGAAGATTCTCCTGCTTGCTTGAGTGCATGCGAGGACAGGATGCACTTTCTGTCCCCTCCCATTGCTTGGGGGGATCCACAACCTTCTGGGGGCAGGCTCTAGTTGTTCTCTGGCAAAACTCTGGTCCTCTTCCAATGCCTTGCAGAACCTCTCTGGGAGGGAGGCATTTTGTGTGATTTGGGGCAGCGTAACAATTGCACGAAATGAAAACCTAATCAAAGAAGCCTGCTGTCTTTCAAATTTTCGAGTTTTCTTGTATTTTTCAAATGGTATTTCAAAGTTTATAATGAATTTAGTAGTAGCTAATTATCATGCTAGCTTCACAGTTAAAATGACAACAGGAATGACATTTTCCATTTTGGACCACCAGCAAAATCTCGTTAGAGTTGGATCTATACTCTTGAGTTGAATCCACACTCCCAGTGCCCTAAATCCTGATCCAGTGCTTTATTGAAAGCCCATGGTAACTATTCTAAATTTCAGGTGGAAAAAATGTTATTTTCATCTCTATGTGGAGCTATAGATAATTTTAAAATTAATCTTTAATTATTTTTCAACTTCCCACAGGGCAGCAGTAAGAAATAATACTATGTGGAATATCAGTCCCTTTGAATCATACATCTTAAAGAGTCTTCCCCCCCCCCCGATTTTCTTTTTGCACTTTATTTTTTAAAAAACCACAATCAGAATTGTTGAAAGCATTCAGTAGAAATGATATGGTATTTGCCTGTGCTGAGGATGCAGAATCTTTGCTTCTTTCGTTTCTTTTTCGCTGAAGAAATATGATAGACAACAATGAATTTATCCCAGGTCGTAGCAAAATTATTCTTCATGATACTTTTTAGGCAGGAAGAAATGTGCCCTTATTGAAAACGCCACCCTATAGATGAACAATCTGATACAGTGACTAGTGTCTTTGAAAAATGTCTCCAAACTGCTAAATTCTGTGATTATTTGGATAGAAAGGTGGCAGAGTATAGAGGACCTGTCTTTGATCCTTTTCTATGGAAGGGTGTCAAGAAGACTGAGAAATTATGTAGGGAAAGTGCCTACTGTGCTCTGACTTTGTTTTTGAGGCAGGTAGGAGGGGGCTAACCTGAGTCATACCAGCTCATAACCCCCATTAGTGATTTTTTGTAAGAGATGACATGTGTCACCTCTTACTTCAGAAATGATGTTTTACCCCTAGTAGCCGATTAGATAAAAGACAGATTCATTCATGATTTTATGACTCTCCTTATTATTCAGTTGTGTTGTTATTCTCATGTACTACATGGACTTTGCTTAGTGTCCATTGTACTTTCTATGCTTCTGCCCTCAGTCATCTCACCACTTTCTACCCCAGGTGAGACATTCTCTCCAGCTCTCTCATTCTCTCCATTTCTTTATTCCTTTATTGTTGTGTACCTCAACTCAACCTTAGCCTCGAACTAGATTCCCAATCTAAATCCTATTTTGTACATTGTATTCAAAAGGTCCAGAGAGTTCCATCTGAATCACATTTACCACATTGTGTATATGTGTGTGTAAAGTTTAAATATAGAGAAAACTGAAAAACCTAAGATACTAATATTGACACCTATATATTTACCACCAGGAATTCATAAATGTAAACATTTGGTTCAGATTTTATTTTTAACAAAATAAGCCAGGTGTTGAAAGACAAATACCATATAATCTCATCTTTAACAGGAAGCTAAACAATGAAACAAACAAGCAAGCAAAATAAAAGCAAAGATACTGAAATAGAGAACAGGGGGACAGTGACCAGAGGGGAGAGGGGAGGGAATTTCAGGGGGAAAAGGGGAAAAATTTAGAGGAGCTAGCATAAAGGACACATGGACAACAACTAAGGGGGGTGGAAATGGGAGGGAGGTGGGGGACATGGGGGGATGGACTGGGATGGGAGTAAAAGACAGAAAACTGTACTTGAACAATAATTAAAGAAATTTTTTAAAATACAAAAAAATATTGTACATAGAGCTGATCTCCTTTTTGTATCTGTCCACAGTCCAATTCCCCCTTTTTTTAATCCAAGGAATTAAATCCATCTAGTACTTGAATCCATCTAATATTTAATTTTAATTCATCTGTCAGTAGTTGCCTCTATAGAAAAGGTAAATATTTAGCATTGGCCAGCTGTCAATTTGTTCTTATTTACAATTCTACACACATTCTTACAAACATTTAAGAGGCTTATATATTTTTTCAAAATCAGATAGATGATTTTTATGTTTTGCTTTGTTTTTCTTCAGATTGCTAGTGAGATTGAGCATCTCATCTTTTGTTTATCCTTGGACATTCCATTTCTCTCTTCTGCAATTTTCTATGACATGTAATGAATTTGGTTTTCTTTCTATTCCACATGCTAAGTAGTATTTTAAATGAATGTCACAAACAACTTCTTTAAATCTATGATTTGTCTTTTAACTCTCTATGCTGTCTTTTTTTAAAGGATTTTATTTATTTATCTTTAGAGGGGAAGGAAAGGAGAGAGGGAGAGAAATACCAATGTATGGTTGCTTCTCATGCGCCCCCTCCTGGGAACTGGCCTGCAACCCAGGCATGTGCCCTGAATGGGAATCAAACCATGATCCTTTGGTTTGCAGGCCCATGCTCCATCCACTGAGCTATGTATGCCAGCCAGGGCTGTCTATATGCTGTCTTTTATACAGATGTTTCATTTTTTGACATGATTCCAATCTTTTTTATTGTGTGTGATTTTTGTGTCACATTTAAGAGATCCACAAGGTCACAAAGTATCATTTATATTTTCTTATTATAGTTATATAATTTATTTTAAACATTTACATAATTAAGTATATTTAATTTATTTTTAGTATGGTGAATTGCAGATCTTTTATTTTTTTTATTTTTTTTTATTTATTTATCTTTAGAGGGGAAGGGAAGGAGAGAGGGAGAGAAATATCAATGTATGGTTGCCTCTCATGCGTCCCCTGCTGGGAACTGACCTGCAACCCAGGCATGTGCCCTGACTGGGAATCGAACCGCGATACTCTGGTTCGCAGGCCCGCGCTCAATCCACTGAGCTACACCAGCCAGGGCCAGATCTTTTATTTTTAACACAAGCCTGTTTCCTTACCTAGCTGTAATGCTGACCACATCATGTACAAATGTGTACAGATATTTTTCTGGTTCATTTATTCTGTTGCATTGATCAGCATCAATATTACTAATCTATCTTTGTCCTAAATCTTAAATGTATGTAAGAATGACTTTTAGCCCTCACTATGCATTTTTAAATCTGCCTACCTAGTGTCAAACATTTTCGTATAGTATTTTGGCTAGAATGGCTTTGAATTCACAGATTAGTTTGTGGGAAATTTTTTATTTGATGATATTGAATGATCCCATTAATGAATATGGCTTATTCTCCACTGTTCAGGACTTTTAAGTTCTTTGAAAACTTAATATACTTTTTTCTTTAAAGGTTTTTCTTACATGTTTTTTTTTGTTTGACTCTGAGGATGTTACACTTTAAACTATTATAACACTGGATCATTTTTTCCATTACATTTTTAATTGATTATTGCTGGTGTATAGAAACACTATTGGTTTTTATGTTAGTTTTTTAATGTATAAAACACACAGGTTTCCTACGTTGACTTGCATTTAGCAACCTTGCTGAACTTTCTTTTCAGTTTTATTTGTCTATGATTCTTTGTTTCTCTATGAGTAAATCTTACCATCAGCAAACAATGACAGTTTTGTATGTTTTTTTCAATTTTAATATATCCTCTTTTTCTTATTGTGTTTCCCTTAGAACTTACAGCACAGTGTTAAATAGTAGAAGTGATAGCAGTAATATTTGTTTTTTTCTGAATGTAATAGACATGATTTTAATGTTTTATCATTACATGTTTTGTTATAGTTTTTTTACATAGATGTTATCTATCATTAAAGTATTCATCTAGTTCCAGTTTGTTCATAATTTCAGTCATAAAGATTGCCAGTAAACTCATCAAAAAATTTTTGGCCTCTGTTATAGTGTTTTCTTCTGTAACTATCAATGTGATAAATAACATGGATCTTCCAATATTGATGCATCCTTGTATTTCTAAGATAAAATGTCCTTGACCATTGAGTTTATGTACACTCATGCATGTGCATGCACACGCAGAGCTATATTAAATTTGGTGATATACTTAGGATTTTTACTTCTATGCTATATGCTTATTTTTGTACTGATCTTGTTTGGTACAAAGGTTATATGTACTAGATTCACAAAATGTGTTTAATAGCTTTCTCTAATTTATTCCTGGAAATAATTTGAATTATACAGGAACTATGCATTGCTTGCAAGTTTGATGAGATTTGCTAGTAAAACTTCCTGGCATTGGCATTTTGTTTTTTTAAACTGAGATAGAGGTATAAATTGACTGCCAGTGTAATTTAAGGGATTGTGGATGTATTGATATGTATTTACTTAAACGTATTTTAATTAATAATTAAAAAATTCAGCCAAAGTGCTATTACTACTATTGTGATTTTTAAATTTTCTGTAATTATGTCAATTTTCCCTTGTTCATTTTTTGCCTTCTTCCCTTTTTATTTTTCTTGCTCTATTTTGCTAGCTTTTAAATTTTTATTAGTCTTTTCAGACACCTAGTCTTATTGATTTTTCTCAATTTTTTATTATGTGTGTCTTCTGGCATCTATTTTGGCTGATGTGATAAATC